AAGGCAAGATCGAAATAAATGAACAATTGTGGAATGCGTTTGACAATATCCTCGTGCTGTAGTGATTACAGAAGTCACTGGCAAGCATTTTTAAAGGTGGGCAACAAAGAAGCAAGAGCCCTGTCTTCTGTTAAATGGCAGTACTATGACTGGCCCACTATAGTATACATTTTCTCAAAATTCTGAATATGACCCTCTCCCAAAAGGGTACCTATTCATGATGCTGAAGAATTCCAAAATACTTTTCTAGAATTTTGGAAGTCAATTAAATGAATACAATAATGTTTTCTCCATGAACAAAAATTACAGTTGACTATAATGGGGAAAAATGGAAATTAAAATATTCTGTATATGCTGTTGCAGTGGATTAAGGGGGCTCTTAATTAGGCTTCTGGCTATCTGGGAGACTAAAATATTGTGAAATACAGAGTCTGTCCTACCAATGACAGTGAGGGAAGCAGAATTCAGTGGGAGAGGAAGTTAAAAGTTTCTTTATTCTCATACACATTTGGCTGTGGGCCCTGCAAGAAGCAGAGATTTAAAGAAGCTACTTGACTTAAGAAGTCAACCCAAAAGCCTAGAAAACCTTGGGGGAATTCGAACCAATAAAGTTGGTAAGGAACATTTAATTTAGTCATGTAAAAAAAAATATTCTGTTTATGTGATGTTATAGACAGTATCTGCTTCCATTGTCTGTTTCTGTATTACTTCGTTAACTCAGAATGTTTACAGATCTGTGCTAGGTTTTGAATGCAAATCTCAACCTTATTAGCTGGTTACAATTACACTGGCCTCTGAAATCCTTATTTTGTTGCTATTACTAAAACAAAAATTCTTATTTTCTTCATTACTCCAATCATCTATCACCTAATGTCCCGAAACTGCTTGAGCCTGGCTGAAAAGGAAAAACTGGAGCCATTCAGTTTAAAAGTCGGTTCCTTTTGGGGAAGGAGCATTTCCTATGACCCACCAGATTTCAAGGGACAGGAACTTAAGAGTAGGTGGCTGCAGCTTTAAACAGCTCCGAGTAGAACTTTTTCATTTCAAATAGATGAATCCAGACTCCCAGAACTTAGATAAAGGAGGGTAGAGAGTGGAGATTACAGGAAAGGATCTGGCAGCCTGTTGTGGAGGTTGATAACAAGCTCCCTTCAGCAAAACAGGAAAAAAACCATTTTAATATGAGTGTTCAACTAGTAATCTGTGTTCATGATTCTCTGATAAATACTGCTGTGTTCACTGGTAATTCTTTAACACTCAGACTATAGCTGTCGCAGAATTAATGCTTGTATCAATGTGTTCTGATAAGTGTATTACTTCTTTTGCTTCAAAATCATGCATGCTAGCTATACTGCCTGAAAGAATCTGTAAAAACAGGAAAATATTCTTTTAATTATATCTCTGACCTCAGTATTCATCCATCAAAATCTTACAAAACCACAAAGTACAGTGTTTGCTTGTTATTTGTAAAGCTGACATGATGGATCAAGCAAAATAACTATCTTTTCCTTGGATGGTTGGAATGTCAACATTTAACTCCCCAGCACTTACGAAAGCCACCACAAAGGCTTCACAAAATAGCTAAAATTCACTAATACTATACAGAAACCTCTAAAATCTAAACATTTCTTAAAAGAAACAACATAGAGAGAAAAAGAAAAAATGGCAGGATTTCCTCCCCTTTTCAGCATGTTAAGCTTTGAAGGTCTACTGTCTTTCCAGATTCAACCAGAGAGATTATCCAATAAATACTGATATATAACAGTTTCCAAGAATTACAATTTCTGGCAATCTGCAGGACCAACAGCTGCCCACTTTCCAACTAATAGTATTTCTTTTTCTTTACATAAATATTTGTTGCTTTCCTGGTAGGATTATAGATTTAGCTATCACCTATTTTACTCCCTAATAAAGTATCCTAAAACCTGGCCTTTGGGTGATAGGTATTATGGGGAAAAACACATAAAAAAACCCTCTCCATTTTCTTTCTACAGCATGTTCATCTTATGAATTAAAAGTTTAATACTACAGTAATTGGACTCATTTTATTGCAGATTAATTTTTGAACATCCACTTATAGATGTATTAATTCTATAATTATTCTCTTTGGCTGGTATTTAAAATGCTGTTTCAAATTACACCTATTGAAATGAATGAAGCTAAAGCCACAATACTGGGTGGAGGCTGGGCAGAACATAAGTAAATAGTACATAAGAGTTTCATAGGAAGCTACAGGGTAATGAAATAACAGAGTGTTTGCTTGGAATGCTTATTCAAAATCAACAAATATCTGGCTGCAGTCCAATACTGCTAGCTTTGATGGCAATTTGATTCTCACTTATATAGAGAAAGCTCAGTGGAACACAGTAGAACTTATTTCTCAATCATTTGTTTGGTAAATTAAACAATTTACAAATTTTTGGGAGACTGCTTGTTTCATGACACTTGAATATATTTAGGAACTATGTTCATTATATGATTGATCAAACCCTATTTGTCTGTTTCAGATATAAAAGATACTGCCAACATTCAACAGTAGAGAGCAGGTATCAAATATTCTTCTTTGGAATAAAAAATGTTGTTTAAGTACACAAAGAGAAGCATCAAAGTCTCTTTATAGTATCTTTAGAATTTAAAGCAGAAGGGCATACAAGTACTGCAGCTTTCAACTTACAACAATTGTTTAATGACTGTTCAAAGTTACTGTAAAAATGACATATGATCAGTTCTCATAGTTATGACAGCTGCAGAATCCCTGTGGTCACATGATCAAACTTTGAGCGTTTGGCTACCAACATGTATTTACGATGATTTCAGTGGTCCATGATCCTGGGACTGTCATTTGCAGCCTTCCTAGGGAGCTTCTGACAAACAAAATTAATGGGGAAAGCCAGCTTCTCTTAATGACCACATTATTCATTTCACAACTGTGATGATTTGTTTAACAACCATGGCAAAAAAGATAGTTAAATGGGGCATGACTCACTTAACAACTGCCTGGCTTAGCAACAGGAATGTAGGACTCAATTGGAATCATAAATTGGGACTACCTGTAATATATTAGACCAGACAAGGTCCATTCCAACATGCATTTCCTTCAACTGTCCACAAATAGAAGGGCAACAATACTCACACACTTAAGTTTTCCATCCTCTGGTATTTAGAGGCATCCTACTTCATAGGAAGTACTACAAGTAACATACAGGCATACATTGAAAGTTTCATCTTTGAGAAAATTTATCATGCCCCTTTTTAAAACCATTGCTAAATCTTGCAACTGTGGTTTTCAACACCTTAGCATGTATTACAGAAACAAATATTTGAATTCTCTGAAAGTTCTCCTATATATCTACTAGCTTCTAACGCTCCTAAAATTCATATTTATTTCTAAATTTTACTGGAAATTTTGCTCACAATTTGTTCTTTAAGTGATATCCTGACTACTGCCAAACACTGAACTTCGCACTACATATAGGTCCAAAGGCCATAATGATCAAAGTTATGTTTGAAACTATTCCCAATCTCATCTGTACTTTGCTTCTCTGTAACACTGTGTTACAGACACAACTAACATTGTTTAAGCTCAATATTAATCCTCCACAGAAACCCCAACAGCTGGTTAACAGATGATTGGCAAAAAGTTGGTGTTTCACACCCAGTATCTCACAAAAGCCATTTGCTTTTGGAAAATCAGGAGGAAATTGTAGGATAAATCCAGTTTTTAAACCTTAGTTACCCAGATAACATCATCAAATCATTTTTTTTTAGACATGACCATGTTTTTTTTCTAACTCAATTCTCTCTTTGCATGCAGAGTAATAATACTGGAGGCAAACATTAACACACCGGTCACTTAATATATGAATTCATAGTCATTAATCTGGTTATCAAAGTGTTTGTAGAAATAAATGAAAAAAAATCAACCATCCTGTTAAATAATTTCAGGTGGTTTGGTTTGCATTATGGTCAAAGTAAACATAATGCTATAAGTGCAATGACCAACAATCTTTAATGTTATTCCATTGGCATAACTGGGAAGGCATAAATCCCTCAAATAATCTTCAGGAATAACTTTCAAGGTCTAGTGAGTGGTAAATGAGAATCAGATACTTTCATATACCCTGAATTTATTTTATCAATTTCCAGAAGTAACTTATTAAATGTATGAGTGATAGGTTTTGGGTGCAATGCAGCATATGTAATTTTATGATTAAGCCACAATTTAGTCAACTTGCTTTAGATTAACATAATGGATGACTCCATTGTTTCGTGTTTATGTGTGACTATCTCTCCTTGTTCAACACAACAAAAATTTAAAAATCATGACCTAGCACTGTGTGAGATATTCTCCAATAAGGAGGTAGATGTGGGGAAAAAAAGATGTAATGTACATGGCGTGAATGAAGAGGTATGGCCTTACAAACTTACTGTCAGCCAGATCTGGCATCTGACTTGAATCTACATCTTCATGAGGAAGAGATGCTTTCTTTTTATATAGCAACAATCCCTCAGGTTTCCAGACAGAAGAGCTTTTATCCTTTAGGAAAGTGCAAATAATTATCCAAGGGAAAGGGGAAAAAAATCAGTAACAGGGCTGTTGAATACTAGCGCGGGAANAAAATAAGCCCTCCCCAAAAATATTGCAACACAGCAGCAACCATGAGGCGACCACGCTCGCTGCCTCCTGCACCTCAAAAATAATAAGACCTCCCTGAAAATAAGGCCAAGCGCTTATTTCAGGGGTCAAAAGTAAATAAGACCCTGTCTTTATTTTGGGGAAAACACAGTAGTTTCTTTCTTGCAAATTGCTTGGAAAAATCTTCCACCATCTTGATGCTCTCCAGACATTCACAACCAATGCCAATAATTCCAAGCCAGAAAACCATGTCAAGAAGTCACAGATCGTCATAGGAGAGAGACCCACACCGAGTCTTACATAACATTGATTGACATCTTAGGCAGCAAACAACAAAAGCACAAGTAGAGGAACGATATCTTACCTTCTTGAGACGAGACCAGAGGTGGCATGTAATCGGGGATATACTCCTTCCTCTCTTCCGCGTCTTTGCTTCCGGGCTGAGGAAACTGCAGCACATTATTCTTACTCACAGGGAAGGAAGGGATCTGATGTGCAAAAGTCATAGGTTCGATATTGAGTATGTAATCTTCCAATTCATGCAGGTTGACCCCCATGAGCTTAAAGGCTTCACCCACATCCTCCAAAATTGGGTCTGTCCGGCCATCTGGAACGCAAATAAATGTGAATGTCAAAAAAAAAAACCCCAAACCTACCAAACATTTTTAAAAAGTTAACGTATCCGCCCGCCAAACAGAAGCGGCTTTTTGAAAAAGCAGCAAGTTAAGTTGGCCGTTCAAAACTTCATTTGAGATGACCGAGGAACGCAAACATTTTTTTTTTTTTTGCCTTCCGCTTCCACGAGGCTGTATTTACTTGAGGAGCTATTATCAGGATTTGATTTTTCCCTGCCTGGCTCGGCTACGGAAATGACAACCAAATTGCAATTTAGCGAGTGCTCACTAGAGCGGAAAAGTAGGATATAAAATAAATAGAATTTACTCGGAAGGCGACTTGAAATAGTAATATCAGCAGAATTTCTACTCGGGCCTGTTCAGAAGTCACAAGCCAAGAATCCCCAAAGCAAGTAAATATACCTGGGTTCAAGCTGTCGATAAATATATATAGTTTTTTCCATGATATATATAACATTCCATCATACACATAAACACACACGCATGATATAACTGTGATGGCAAACCTATGGCATGTAGTGCCCTCTCTGATGATACGCGAGCCGTCACCCTAGTTCAGTTCTGCCACGCATGCGCCCACACCTCCCGCCAGCCAGCTGGTCTTCAGGTCTCTGCCGTCCATGCGTAGGGGGTGGGGCACGTATGAGGGGGTGCACGCACAGGGAGTGTGCTGGGGATTGTGCACGCATGTGCGGGGCGAGTGCAGGGATCGCACGCATGCATGGGTGGGCTCATCACTATGATATAACATTGTATCATTATAACCCTTCTAACTCCATAGATAGTACAGGTAGTAGCAATAGCACTTACATACCGCTTCACAAATGCTTTACTGCCCTCTCTAAGCAGTTTACAGAGTCAGCCTCTCGCCCCCCAACAATCTGGGTCCTCACTTACCAATGTTGGAAGGATGCAAGGCTGAATCAACCTTGAGCTGGTGAGACTCGAACTGCAAACTCCTGGCACCAGGAGTTAGCAGAGGTAGCCTGCAGTACTGCATTCCAACCACTGTGCCACTTATGACCCCCCCCCCAAATTTCTGTTGCTAAGCGAGACATTTGTTTAGTGAGTCTTACCCCCGTTTACGACCTTTCTTGCCAAAGTTGTGTAGTGAAATCACTGCACTTGTTAAGGTGAGTAACACAACTGTTCAATGAATCTGGATTCCCCATGGACTTCGCTAGTCTGATGGTCATAAAAGGGGATCACATGACCCTGGGACACTGCAATCGTCATAAATGTGAGTCAGTTGTCAAGCAGCCAGATATAAATCCCATGACCATAGGGAGGCTGCAACGGTCCTAAGTGTGAAAAATGGTCATAAGTCCCCTTTATCAGTGGCACGGTGACTTCAAATAGTCACTAAACAAATGGTTGTAAGATGAGGACTACCTACCTTTTTTCCCCTAACTACTTTTATAAGGATTATCTATCTATTTATCTATCTATCCATCCATCCATCCATCCATCCATCCATCCATCCATCCATCCATCCATCCATACCTATCTATATATCTATATCTATATCTATATCTATATCTATATCTATATCTATATCTATATCTATATCNTCAATGTCGGCTGGCGACTCCCTGGGGGAGGGCCTTCTCTGTTGCTGCTCCGGCCCTATGGAATGTGTTGAATACTAGCGCGGGAAGTAAGGTCTCCCTTTCTCATTGGTTCTTGGGCGGAGCCGGTTCAATCCTCGCCCCGATTGGTTGAGCTACTCGACGCCCCATTGGCTCATTGTTCAAACTTGGGGGTATAAATGTTTGGCGCGAACCACGCCACGCTGAATCGTAGTTACTATGCTTTGAATAAAGGTTACTGCTTTGCTACACCTCTTGTCGCGTCCTCTCCCTTCGCTCCAAGATGCAAAAGCAACGAAGCTGGAGGCCATGCATGCTGTGGGCATTCTGGGCTGCAGAGGCTATGGTAGTTATAGAGGGCTACAGCTAGTGGTGGGATTCCAAATCTTTTCCTACCGGTTCTTGTTTTTTTAGCTCATCTGATTTGTTCAGCGGAGTGAATTGCTGTGCCTCAGCTGAGCTAAAAAGCAGCTCAGTTCACCAGCGCTGACACCAAACGTGCTCTTTGAGTGCTGTGCAAATACATGCAGCATTCAAAGACCACTTTCGGTCTCAGTGCCTGTGAGCTGAGCTGCTTTTTAGCTCAGCTGAGGCACGGCAATTCGCTCCACTGTGCAAATCAAATCAGCTAAAAAAAACAAGGGAATATAGGACAGGAAACGACAATAGTGGGAGGGCGGGACCAACCAGAGGTGGCATTTGCTGGTTCTCTGAAGTATTCAAAATTTCCACTACCGGTTCGAACCGGCTGAATACCGTCTCTGGCTACAGCTGTCAAGGCCTGCAGAGGCCACCAAGAGTGGGATCTGAGGTGGCTGTGGAGGCTACAAAGGCCATAGTACAGGGATTCAGGTTGGTGGAGGCTATGGAGGCTGAAGAGACTGGAGACTACAATGACTGCAGAAGTGCATAGGCCACAAAGAACACATTAGTAATCTTGGAAGCCCAGAAGATCATAGTAGTGGCCTGGTTGCGTGGGAAAGTCGCAGAGGCCACATGAAAGCTTGACCCAGCAAAAAATGTTAACCCCCAATATCTGACCTATGGAATCATGGTTAACCTGGAAATTGTTGGGTGGAGTGGAGGTCCTTGGTTACTGACCCCTTAGGAGTGATGGTCTCATCACTGGGATGAGGTGAGTGGTACTGGGGTACTTTCTCATTTTTCCCCTGCAGGAACTTTTCCCACACACCCACCCCGAGTACATTGGCAGTGCAGCTAGAGGGGATTGAGTCCCATATGGGCTGGTGGAGGTAGGCTGCCAGGATTCTTTGTTTAATTTATGTATAAGTTCAAAACAATTAGTCCCTATTATGTGTAAGCATTTGTGTGTGTTTCTGTGTGGTGAGAAGGTGACTATGAATACATTCCTGACCCGTTGTGGCCCGCCAGCTGCCTGTGGAGATGGCAGCAGATTCGGATAGTGAGGAAGTTGGGGAGGAACATGGGCCAGGAACATGAGTCTGGGGAAGGCTCTGATGAGGGCTCTGTGTTGGAGGCAGAGAGGAGATGAGAGCTGTATGCCTGTTATCAGCTGCCTTCAGAGTCAGACATCAGTGAAGCAGACAAACAGCTGGAGCCTGTTCCTAGTGTGCGCAGGTACAGAATTGCCAGACGAAGGGAACAGCTAAAGAATAGGGTTCAACTTGGGAGTAAGGCCACAGGTGGATGATGAATGGCCCCTCCCAGAGAAAATAAAAAATGAGCAAAAGGGGAGTGGAGTTTGCAGGACACAATTAGTTCGCTTAATTGGTTCATGACTCTCCGAGACTCCTTGCCAAGTTTTGTAGATATCGGCCTGGCAGCTCGCCAAGCCAGTTAAGGTCTGTGACTGTAAATCCTTTCTTGAAAGACTTTGTTGGATGTGAATGAGCAGAATTCACAGTAAATTAATAAAAGGGTTTTTTGGGGGGGCAGGAGTTTGTTTCATGCTCTTGGGAAACCTAGGTCAGAACAACTCCTTTGGATGGGAATGAGGGTATGAGGGATGACAGTGGATTGGGGCCCCTGAGGGGGCATGCAGAACCATCTTGATAGCGATAGGCAGAAAATGAGTGATATGGGAAGAATTCATGGGTGGGCCACACTTGGGGGAACCGTGTCCACTGTTTGAAGGTAGTCCCACTGTCCAGTTCTCAGTTTCTACCCTCTGTACCTGGCAACTGGAATCTTGGTGGTCCCGGTCTTTGTTTCTGAATGCCAAACTGGTATGTAACAAATATATGCTGTTATACTGCACAGCCTCCCAAATGGATGCTGTTATCCTACTCAGCCAGTTAAAATGAGCTTCCCTTATCTTAACAATTACAATCACATAAAACCAAATATTTGGATAGTGCATTAGTTATCTATAACTCACCAGGGTTATTTTTAACTTTTAATTTTTAAAATATATTTTGGCTTGGCTTAACTCCCAAGTTTCTTCGGGGCTGTCTACTTTGGGTTGAATTTTCCCCATCAAGTAGGGTCAATTCAGAAGGGAATGCTAGACCTCTGGAAACAACCTGCTATATTTTTGAAACACATTAAAAATGGGGCTTTTAGTGCCTAATGACAAATGAGCAAGGACTGTAGATTGTAGGTAATGAAAAGTCTGAGTTCATACATCTTGATACAAAAACAGGCAAGCCACATTGTGGCTTTATGTAATGTGTTTGATATCTTCACATAGGTTGTTGGAAACAAACAAAAGTTATTCCCACATCTTATAAACACCAGAGAGCATAACCTGGGGGTTTGCAGTTGCCAAATTCAGCCAGATTTGGGGACATGCCAACATTCTGGATCTGTCAGAATTCCCTCTTCAAACAATATATGGTAAATTATTTAATCAATCTGCATATTTTGTCCCCAAACCAAGTTAAGGTACCCTACACATCATCCCCTGTTCATAAATACTAATTCTCCCTCTAGAAATGGCATTTATGGCCCACCATATACTGTTTTTGGCTGGTGTGATATGACAAACATCTTGAATGAGAGTCTAAAACCTATTGCTCACCCTTGCATATTTACAGCTAAATCAATCCCAAAGCCAATCTATATTACATGTATAGGGAACAAATTAATAACATAGAAGGAAAAGAACCAGTCAATCTTAGAATAGCTGAAGTTGATTGTACAACTTACTGTATTAACTCTCTTCTGTAAGGGCATAATTCTTTCAGGTTTTTTTCCCCTTCCCTCCCTTTCCCCTTGCCTTATTCTTCAAGGTTTTGATTTACCACCACGAACACTGCAAAGCTTAACTGATCCATTTTTAGTTTAGGAGAAAACACCCTGAATTGATGTTTTGGCTGTCTTTATAACAATGTTAAATGGTTGGAAACTGTCAAAGTAAAATACTTTTACTGCAGTGTTTCAAGTAAACAGTATAAACTGTA